CTGGCACGAAACATTCCCAGAAAAAGATTAATGAGAGGATTGCGGAGGTTGGGACGGATTTGTGTTTGGCGGGTTGAAATATTTCCTCGGAACCGGAGGAATTGGGGGCAGCTGTGGGACTGGAGGTGGTCTGGGGATCGGATCGGGTTTTCTCCGGTCCGGAGGAGGCAGGGTCGGGTTTTCAGGTTCGGGTGGCGGTGGGTTGTGATTTGGGCTCGGGTTTTGGCTCGGGCTTGGGGCGATTGCCTTTCGAGGCTTTGATATTGGAGCTGGTGCAGGCGTCGGTGGGCTTTTGCTGTGTGTGGGCGTGATGTGTGGGCCCGGAGCCACTAGTGGGGATGGGTAGGACTTTTTCCGGTTTGGAGGAGGTGGGATTGGGCTTCCGGGCCCGGAAAGTGGTGGGTGATGATACGGGCTCGGATTTGGGCCCGGGCTTGGGCTTGGGGTGGGTGTTGTCTGATGTTTTGGTACTGGAATTGGTGTAGGTGCTGCTAAATGAGGTTTTTTGTGGCTTGTGGGCGGGTAAGAAGGAGGAATTGGGTTTTGCAGGTAAGGTGTTTGATGAAATGCCTTTGTTGGCGGGTGAGTAGATTCTCGGTTTTGAGGGGGTGTTTTTGGTGGTTGTTTTAAAAACGGTGGAGATATTGGCTCGTTGGGTGAGGGAAAATGTGGTGGATTGTTATATATTGGGATAGGTGATGGAGATGGGCTCTCGGTTTTTGAGTTTCTTGGAGTTTTTTTCGGGCTTTGGAAAACTAACGGGTTGTGGGGCATAGAAACTGGCTGTCTCGGTAGGGACAGAATTTGTGAAGTGTTGGGAAATATGAATTTGGGTTTTGGTGTAAAGAAGGCCGATTGGCATGTTTCGGGACAGAATTTTAATATTATTGAGGTGTTGTGGGCTTCTTGCGCTGTGTTGTGATTGGTGGTGTGGAATTCGAGAGAGGCTGTTTGGGTAGTTTTCAAGAGGCATTTTTCAAGCTTTGTGAAACAATTATCAATCGAGTATCCATCTTTTGTTGTGTTGTGAGCAGATAGAGTTATGTTGAATTTGCCTTCTTCATCGACTGGTCCACTTCCCTGTATACTTGTGTCGGTCTTTCCAGAATCTTCGCAGTGTATGAATAAACGGAGCCCTGCATGGATTAAAGGAGAATATTCGTGAAGATAGAGAGCGGTTTTGTGTGGACTCGTGAGGTATGTATTTTTTCATTTTACTACTTTTACCGCAGTTTTTGAATAATATGTCCTGTTTGTCTAGTATAAATGTGCAAGTGGTGTTGTAACTGTGCATGATAAACAAGTTCTTGTCTAATAAATGCATAAGAGATGGTAAAGAGCTTGATATATATGCCATTTCGAGCTCGGTTATTATTCGAAAACAAAATGTTCATGATTGAGCTTGTTCGTTTATTTGTTTGTGTTCGTGTTCGTGATCGTGGTCGTGTTCGACTAGTTTAATAAAAAAACTTACTAAATTTTTTTTGTTAACTCAATTTTTCAACTCATTCGAAATCATTCAAGCTTGAATATAAAAATTTGGTTTGTTTACAGCTCCTATATCATGAAAAACTGGTTTTTCAATTAGTAAACAAACGAGCTTTAGTCGAACTCGAATGGCATTTTGTTCCCGAACGTTTGGTTTGTTCACAGCTCAAATGTCAGGTTCACCTAAATTTTGTATCAGTAAAACTTCATTAGTTTGTTAAAATAAAAACCCTATGAAAATCAGGAGTTCCCACTAATAGGAGAGCAGGCCATAAGAGAAAAGTATGTAAGGGAACAATTACACAAAACAAAAGCAAATTGGAAAAACAATGAAAACGAAAAAGTGCAAAATTAACTGATAGTAAAAGTGATGAAAATAATAATACCGGACGATGCTCGGTTGCTGCTAAACTCGTGCCTTATGCAATTTGCGCAATGTATCTGTCCGAATACCTTAACAGTCGAGTCCTTGCCGTGGCAAAAGCTTAAAGATAAGAACAAGAAAACCCAAATTGTCAAGGGCATAAAGTGAAATGCCATTAACAACTTAAAAACTGATTTTATAGTTCTAACACATCTAAGCTAGCAAACACAATGTAAGTGTAACTGCTTATCATATTTGACAGACACTGAGAGTGCTGAATTATTTATACAGACAAAGATTTCTAACCAATAGTTTAACATGCCAATTTCATTTTATTTTATTCTATTTATGTTTGTGCAATGATATCAAGTTTGATGTCCCAGTTGTATTTACTTCTGTTACAGAAAGAAGTTAAGGTAGTGGCAATGGCACCGACTTTGCGGGTAAGAAATCTTCTGCATTTCGAGTACAAATCTCTTTTTTTTTTTCCCATTGTTTGGGAGATGGGATATCACAGCTACCCCCTTTAACTACAAATAAATAGGATATATTGTTAGGTGTAGCCCGGAAAAAAATTAATTGTTTTATTGATATAATTTAACTAAAGTTATGTAAAAATATTTTAAATCAAGTATTGTTAGGTGTACGTTAAATTCAAATTTTCGCATTGAATTTTAACTTTAAAAAATTTTGATAAATGGGTTATCGGTAGTTTGTTAGTACGAAGCCTGCTAGCGCCAGGACTAAGTCTGTATATTGCTAGCCCTGTTAAATCAGATCGTTTTTTTTTTTTTTTTTAAACTCATGCGAAACTGTTAGTGCGAGCCCATTTAACATCTCTAGTTCGGCGAATAAAAATATAGTAACAAAGTTGCATACTTCATCGAAATATAAAGACTGAAAACCATCAGTTTTGAGCTTGAACAAAAATATAGAAGTGTTTGGTTGTTGAGCTCTAAGAACTAGCAGCAAGTACATCACAAAATAATGAATTAGCTGAGTGGTTTATAACTTAATTTTTTCATCATAAACAAATGTTTTTAAATTATTGAGCTAGCTAGACTAATAAACTTAGACAACTGTCTTCTTAATTAGTCCCCCCTACAGCTAGATTTCAAACAACCTCTTCTATATATATATCATATCATGCAAAGGGTGGGAAGAAAGTGATCTTAATTGCTATCACAATCATGGGGCAGCCATTTGCATGTTATGATATTTATTGCTAATAAAAATCTTTTATGTTTTTTTTCTGTACTGACAGAAAAATGCATGGTTCCCTGTTATAAATTTAAATATTTTTAAGTTTTATCCTTGGTGGTGCAACATAAATTTTACTTAATTACATAAATCCCCAAATTCCAATAAAACTTGATAGAACCGGGGGAAGAGGGTGCGGTCCCACCAGATGAAGCGCACCATAAAAGGGTGAGCCTAGGTGTACCTTAGTGAGATTCCATTCAAAAACCAATTGGTTATGAAAGGAGTAGCTCACTAGAATCATTTTTCCTATAGAATCAATGTCGGACAACTTACAAGTGAGATTCTAACAACAATATATTTCAACTGTAATTTCAATGAATATTCTAATGTAGCTGGAAAATTCCAACAGTCTGACCAGAAATAATGTTTCTAACTGTTGAAATTATTGGTGGGAGAAACAATTACAAGGAAAATTGCATATTCTGACGGAAATTACTACAGTAATAAAACACTAATCCACTGAAAATATACTCGTTGATTCATCAAATTCCGAGTAGAATTCAAAAGGAATTTTTAATTTCAATGGAAGAATTTAGTTTTAAATCTTTATTGACATATCCGTTGGAATTTTCTAACAATGTTATAACTTTGGAATATCCGTTGAAATATTTATTGAAATTCGATATTATTTTGCAGTGCTCTGCTTGAATTACTTGATCTTGTTCATTTTTACCAAATACTCCTTAGTGCCAGAAGAGCTATCTTCAAACCGATATGCACGTTATAAAAGATAAAAATAATAAAAAAATAAAAATTGTACAAGCATCCGAATTCACAACCCGAAACACCAAACAACTGATACGGGGAAAAGAAGAAAACAGTACAAATAAAAAAAAAAAATCCTCCTCGCTATCACTCACATTCTTGCAATTTATTCATAACATATGAGAACTTCAATGTTTATGCATCAACAGTCGAATAAAAAACAAGCAAACATGATAAAATAAACAAATAAAAATCTGTCGTTACGGATGCGGAGCAAGAGGTGGCCCAGGCGGGAAAGGTCCGAACTTGGGATGGTGAAAGTACTTTGGCGGGATTTTCGGGAAAGGCGGAAGCTTTGGTAGAGGCGGGCAAGGCTTCTTCGTGATTGGTGGGATTGGATATAAGTAAATTGGTGGTGGCAATGGCTTAACAATAATTGGCGGCTTGTAAGCCGGTGGCTTCTCCACTGGTGGCTTGTAAATCGGCGGCTTTTCCACCGGCGGCTTGTAAGCAGGTGGCTTCTCCACTGGCGGCTTGTAAATTGGCGGCTTTTCGACTGGTGGCTTGTAAATCGGCGGCTTTTCCACTGGCGGCTTGTAAGCAGGTGGCTTCTCCACTGGCGGCTTGTAAATTGGCGGCTTTTCGACTGGCGGCTTGTAAACCGGTGGCTTCTCCACTGGCGGCTTGTAAACCGGTGGCTTTGGTTTGGTAGGTGGGCATGGCTTCTTGGGCGGCTTGTAAACTGGCGGCTTAACAACTGGTGGCGGCTCGTAAATGGGAGTTGATGGTGGCTTCGGTTTGTAGAAAGGGGGCAATGGAGGGAAGAGCCAAGGGTGCCCAAAGGGTGGTAAAGGTGGGTGCTTGAAGTACGGCCAAAAGGATTTGGAAGTGCACGTTGCGGCTGAAAATCGAATTTTTTCGGAAGGGGCAAAAATGTAATTTGGGCCGTCGTTTAGGGGCTTGAGGGTGATTTTAGAGGCTTCGAGTGAGTTGTGGACCGGGCAAGGGATTGCGGATGCGCTGTGCAGCTGAGCGTAGCATTCGTGCTCGATTTTGGGCCCGTTTCGAACGAGTTCTTTGGGGAGAGAGACCTTAAAGTTGCCATGTTTGTCGAGTTCGCTTGAGCCGAACCTTTTCGTGTCTCCATTCTTGAGCTTGCAGTCGATGGTCACTCGAAGACCTACGTTTGTTCGTGCCAAAATCGAACGTTTAGCCATTAGTAGGTAATTTAACTTGGATAAGTAGAAAGCTAGACAATGCAAGGAGTATGAGCTAGTTGTTACAACATACAACTAAAAAGAGTTGCATGCTAGCTTTGATAATGCAATCAACGGGTAATTAGAAAAATCACACTCTTGCAGAAGCATTATTATTGTTATTATTATTCCCTTGATGATTGATATTTGCTATCACAACTTTAGGTAAACACGGACCTTAATTACATTTGTAGTCTTGAAAGTACTTGGACGTACTTAGATGTCAGCAGATTGAACTTCATTTAGAGGTTTGACTTGTCAAATCAGTTAAGTAACTTGTTTGGTACATAATTCTTTTATTTGGCTTTTTGGGCTCAAAATAATAATTCTCAAAAAGTTCAATATACGAACATTTTGGGTAGAGAGAATCCGTAAAATAACTCGAACAACATAACATTTTCAAAATAACTGAAAATGTGTGTGTATGTGTGTGTGTGTGTCTGAAAATGTGGGTTGTAAGTACCTGAAAATGCCTGACTTGTCTTGAAGTTATTCTCTTTGCAATCAGCACATTCACTTGTACCAATAACCTCAAACACTGTCTTGTCACCTGCACTGCACAAACTTACTGAAAAAACTAACAATAATAAAGACATAAAAAATAAGCCATGATTATTATTATAAGGCATAATATTTGCCCTCATTTTGGAACCTATTCACAAATGCTTTAGTTAAATATCATGAAAGCCCCCAAAGGGCTAAAACAATTTACAATCACAAGCTAATAATATTTTGAGGAATCTAATGAAAAATGCAATTGATTCTTGAATTGAGTTGAGGAGCACACATTTGAGCATATGTATATATAACAGATTCTAAGTGTAATTAGTTAACATTTTCTTTGTTTAGGTGTAATAATACAGACATAATGTTTAATGATGTCACATGAGGTTAGGTCCCAATTGATCATGACACAAAATGTTTGTGGAAAAATAAAAATAAAATCATAATTAAACCAAATAAAATTTGGGGACAGAAATTACAAGAACAGCAAAATGTGGACACATGCACACATCTTGATCAAAATTGAATGAGGCCTCAACTGTACAGTTCATTTTCATTTTATTTTATTTTATTTTATTTTTATTTCTATTTATATGTTACCTAGCTCAATTTACCAGCTCCATCCTTGGCAAAACTGCATTAACAAAAGAAACAATGATAATGCTACATTTACATGATAAATGTATATAACACTCACGTGAAGTAGGGTTCACTTGGTTTTTATTTTTGGTAGGATTCAATTAATGTGAGTGTTATGTACGCATTTATGTATAGTATTATGTACGTATAGCATTTCTCTATACGAATTTCCCATTAATTGTCCCAGTTATTATCTTAAATGAAGGCGGATAATTGTTCTCGCAACAACTTACTATGATTTTATGTGTATATATCTTGTCGTTTTGGTTTGTTCAAAGAATAATAACCCACATTTGAAGATTTGAAGTACACAACTAAGGAAAATGCACACATAGATGAAATGTGGATGACATTTCTCCATGTTTATGTGAAGGGAAGAATATCTATTAAGTTTGGTAGAGTTGTAAATGCCATTATGCAGGATCCTTGCTCTATTTGATTAGGTAGTTGAATCTTACGTTATGATTTATCATTATAATTTTGTAATTTTCAGTAGAATAATGACGTCTAGTAGACCCCGAAAGGTGGAATTGATATAAAAATTAAAAATATCCCCTGGAAAAATATAATCTCAGTGAGAAGTGATGAAAAAAGTGGAAAAATTTGTGAACGAATATAAAATAAAATGCAATTATTAACATTGTTGTAATATAAAAATAAAATAATAATAATAATAACAATATATATTAATTGCTAGTTAAAAATATGCAAAAATAAATATTAAATTTTGTTTGAAAACATATACTGTTAATTAATTTATATTTCATAATTGTGTGTTTGTATTGATCAAATAGAGGAAAAAATAAGAATATATGAGGAAACCACCATTTATATTATCACGTAAACTGAATTGAGTCGTTATAGAAGTGTATAAATCTCGTAGAGTCGTTATCAAACCAATTCACACGCCTTCACATCCTTTTAGGCTATATTTAAATAAATCTCGTTTGGTAGGACGAGATTTTTTTAAAAGCTCAAACTTATTTTATAAGCTTCTTTAGGTAGCATTTCAAAAAAACTAAAAGGATTTTTTATTCCAACTAGCTTATCAGCTAATTTTACCTAACCCTTATATCATATAAGTTAGCTTTTCAGTCATAAGCTATAAGCTCAATAAGTACTGATAAACTATCAGGTAGTTTTACCAAACATAGCCTTAATCAATCACCAAAAAAAAAAAAAAAAACCGTGAAAAAGGTCGGTAAAAACATGCATTTGAGCCCTGTCAATATGTTATACCCGTCACCAAATACAACAGTAAAAGGGGATCAGTAACTAGTAATGCGTTCGAGCCTGTCTACTGTTGACACACATCGCATACAAATGTTGTGTATCAAACCCTTAAAATATTCAATCATAAAGGAAAACATAAGATAAAACTAATCCACACAGCCATGATAAGGCAAAGTACAATTCAATTAATCCCCGTGAATCGTGTATCTTTCCCACTTCTTCGTAGGGTCATATATCTGCAAAAGGAACAAAATTATATTACAATTCTGCAAAAAAATACATAAATAAATAAATAAAAGTCGGGGATAGTGAATGTGTACCTCCCATCTCGATGCTGGAAATATGTGTTTGTTCTTCTCATACCAATGCCTCTCCACAACCTTACCAGCATGTGACTGTAAAATAAACGTGGGATTAACAAAAATTCGAATCATACAAACATCAAAGAAAGAAAACCAGTGCTGCATTAGGTAAAGATGCTAGCATAACCAGATGAGAAAGGCTCAATAGAAACAAAAAAACAATAGTTGATATTTGATAAGATAATCCGAAGAGCAAAGTGATAAATGAGTACGCATGTGTGTGTGAAAGAGAGAGAAATTACCCGATATTAGTTAGGTAATAACTATATGCAACAGGACACTATCATGCAGACAAAGATGTAGGGGACTCGTACCTAACTTTCAAACATGATTGTTTATAAGATATATATTTGTTTTTTCAACTCGAAATCTAAACTCAACTCAACTCTCCTCAATATTATCAAATATAATTAAATGATATCAATCAATCATCCTCACACACCACATCAACTTTAATTCATTATTCAACCACTCACATAATTTTAACTATTCATCACTTCTAATTATCTATCTCTTACTTTTATATCAAATCAACTTTAATCAATATATCTAAAATATTTTAATACAAACTCAAAATCCCGCTTGAACCTAACCCAATCAACATTTTCAAAATTAACTCCGGTTATCCAACAAATCCAAAATAACTTATACCCAATCACCCACCCCCTTACTCTGGGGCCGTGCAAGGTATGAAATTCCAAAGTAGAAAGGATTCATCTTGGATCATCACAATTTACCACTTCATAATAGACACTGATATCGAGCATGGTAAAGGTCCTTACCTCATCTTTCTCTATTGTTGCATCTGCAATGGTTCGGACATCCTCATGCACATCAAAGTGGAAAAGCTGTTATGGGATCCAAAAAAAGAGTAACTGGAAGAGTTAGGTCAATTTCCTTCATTATCATTCCAACAGAAAACCACACACAAATGTTTGTATATCCACTCTACCATGAACGAGTAAACCAACAACATTGAGAACAAATTACTTCATATAAATATTAAAAATTGTCTAGAAAATAAAATAAACGTTTCTCGAACAATAGAAGTAATCCAGTAATATAGAATAGAGAACCACTTTCGAAAATAATTTGAACCTCACAACCAAGTAATGATGAAAAGAGAAATGATGCAATGATAATTCAAATAATGGTCAATAAAGCTCTTAACATATATCATCCTTCAAAGTGAAGACGAGTTGAAGAACAGAGGGCATTACCGGTCCACTTTTCCCTCTAGCTTTATTCACAATCAGCTCATAGAAACTGTGTTGCTGCGATATAGAGCAGAAGAATGAAAGTAATTCCTTTAGGTACAAAGCACACAAGTTTGAACAAGGAGCAGAAAATAATACTTCCATAAAAATAGAAGGTCTTACATGTGGAATGATGAGATCTTCTTTCACATAGAGCAGATTCTCCACAGAAGTAGTCCGGACCTCTCGAAACTCGGGAGCAAGCTGCTGCTGAACAGCACGAAGAAACTCCCCAATAGAATCACCTTTCCGAACCTGATATGTAATGATCGACCAAAGAAGTCCACAAAAGAACTTAGACATAACAGATATACACAAATTTAGATAGAATTAATAGAAAATGTATAACAAAAATAAAAGTAAAGACAAAAAATGGAAGAAAAAAATGTTATTACCTGGATAGCACGTCGATGGCCAGTACCATCCCAATAGCTGTACGTGATTTGAAGAGGCTCATCTGAAGAAATACAGCAGAAGCAGGCGTTGATGATGCATACTATGAAAAAATACTCATTAGCATGTTAAATTTACGACTAACTTTTAATTTGCGCCTGCTCAAGAAGCCACTGTTTGCGCAATCTTTCACGT